TGAAACAATCTGAACTCACAGTCTTGAATTACTACACAATACACTGCCTGGGACCCCAGCTTCAATGACTACAGTGTGCAAAGATTGTTTGTGAATGAGATAAGCTATATTGTTAGATTTAGTTCTCAGGATATTAGTTGAAATGCATGACGTAGCAGTCCCCTCATGCACTCAATATCTGCTATTTCAGTATCCAAGTATCTCAGGCGATATTTCCCAGACAGTGGAAAATATTCATCCTTATTCCAACACAATATTTACAAGCAAATGAGGAAAAGAGACAAACGATTTCTGTGATGAGTGTGTGTGTGTGTGTGTGTGTGTGTGTGTGTGCGTGCGTGCTTATTATATATCGCGCCAAATGCACACTTTACTGTCTGGCATAAAGGGAAATCACTTATTTTTAAGTTTTGCATGAAAGTATAATTAATGGTAGAGAACCTTTAAAACATTTTAACCACATGTGGATAAACGCCCATCTTAAGGAACAAAACAATTTCTGTAGGTTTGTGTGCAATAGCTTTAGTAAATGGATAACGTATATTTCTAACGCGCAGCGACATTTCGTTGATGACGTCATGTAGTATGCCGCCTTAATGACGTCATAGTTAAAGAAGATTGTGGCTCTACACCAATTCACTGTTGCTGCAAGCAATACACGACCTGTAAGGAAGATGTGGTGGCTGTCGAACACGACGATCCATGATAGGGGTATTCTGTGGTAGACATGTCTGGGAAGCGTGCAGGTCACGGCAACACGTTGACGTTGTCGACTGCGAGGATGTTCTGTACGATTCGGGCTGTGTTGGGTCTGGCGTTGTCATGCTGATAAAGGACACCACGTGGCAGCTGTTGTAGACATGGTAGGACACTCGGACGAAGAATGTCTTCCATGTAACGCTGAGCTGTCAAATGTCCGTTAACGATGACCAGTTGTGTTCTCTCCGACCCACAAATTTCTCCCCACACCATAACCCCTTCCGCCATAAGGCATGAACTCATGAACGCAACATGCCGCCGTTCGTTCTCCCCTTCGGTATTAGTGAAGACGACCCTCTGCCAGTCACGTCGCTGCCAACGACGTACAGTCCGGGCCCATCTGAAACTCTGACGACGATGTTGCGCTGTCAACAACTGTTCTCTGCAAAGCCTGTAAGCCCTAATACCTTGAGCACTGAGTCGCATGGCTACTGTCTGTCGACTACTCATATGCCCTAATGCCTTAAGCCGATGACGTCACTGTCAGGAATCGATTCCGGAAATGCAAAGTACGCAAGTACCGGTCTTCAGTGGGCGTAGTTACCCTGGGTCTTCCTGTTCCTGGCCTCTCTGATGTCTGTAACGTTGCATCAACAAGGGAGCAACCAAACGTTCTAGCAATGTAGGAACTGGTGACTCCCTTCTGTTTCATACCTAGGGCCTGCTTGCTTTGTTCGGACGTCAGTCGTAGCATTTCTGTGGTCATTTTTTATTAGTGTCAGTGTCTGACATGCCGTGCGTATAATTTATATACCCTTATTGCACGGGTAGTTTCGGCTGGTGCTGTTAACGTTTTCGCATTTACTACTAAAAAACGTGCCGTGGACGTGTATCACTTTCTGCATAGACCATTTTTTATGTTTTGACGATGTGTTTTGCATTGAATTAGTTTTAAATTTTTAAATTTAATTTTGAAAGTATTTTTAATTACGTGTCTAATAACAATTCCAATACACTAACATTAAGTCTTCCCTTTGAGAACATTTTTTTCGGTCAGCAAATGGATGGTCAAATGACCATTAGTCGTTCAGGCGCAATCTTGTTACCGACACATGATTTCGAGCCCCTCAATTACAGTCACGTTAAAAATAGATGCACAAGACGATGTAGTCCTGCACCATGACCGTGGAATATATTTATTTTATGAAAAAATTATAATCTAGAAATGCATACAAAAGCAAGTCTAGCCAGCTGAAGCTAGCTCTATTCTGAAATCAGCATAGGGAATTTTTTTTTATTTTTAGAGTCAAGATGGATATTGTGTAATATAAGATTTCAGAGACTAAATGTTAGTCTAAAGACGATGAGTCACATGACCTTACACCCAGGAAGTGTACTGACATCAGCCGATACATTATAAGTGCATACGATTGTTCTGAAGCAAGATTATCATCAAATCAAGTTTGATTAAAATGTGCATTAGTGAAAAAGTTGTTTTTTTAGATATGTTTTCATTACTTATTGAATATATTACCTGGTGTAGCTTAACTCGTGACATAACATAACGGCAAGCGGTGAACATGTCGACGTGTTCAGTGGGCTTTGAATCGTCTACCTTGATTACTTCATTAAGTGCGTGGTTGCGTGTTGTTTTTGGTGCTTTTTTTCGTATTAGGTCATCCGTGATATAATGACGTCAATGACGTCAAAGCAACCCAGCGTCATATCTCTCTCACGACCGTGAGAGTTCACGAGAAGAGTAAGTGCCTATGATTGTGGGTTCGAAATCCTGTTCGCCACGATTATGTTTCTAGGTTTGTTTGCACCATACCCGTGCTCGTGGGTTTCACCGAGGTGGTAAACGTCTGAGACCTGCATCACTTCGGGCTTTCCTCCCACATTAAGCTGACACGCCGTGATATAACTGGAATACTGTTAAAAGCGGCGTTAAACCTAACTCACTCACTCAGATTTATGGGTGTTCTTGAGTACTTCACATGGAAGGCGTTAGCCGGAGGTTTCCATGTTAAAATTTCTGGTTATCTAATATCTATGCCCTACATGAACCCGTCTCACATCAGTAGTAATTGTGAATAAATAAAAAACATTTGAGCAAGGTCATGATAACCTGTTAAAACTGATGACATGTTTCTTAGAATTCGAAATAGACATTCAAATATGTTCATTTTTATTGCAGCACATACATGTACATTGCTTCGCTGCACATCTGGTATTTCTTTGGTTAAACCTGTTACGTTTTGATGTGAAGTAATTTGACAAACACATTTAAATTACATGTAGCTATAAACTTTGCAAAACGGTGATAAAGCACATTTTTACAGATCGGGTTTCCGTGAGATTCTGATTAATCACACACTAATCTGTAATAGAGATACCATGGTTTTTTACACACAAAAAATTGTAATTCTGTACCACTGTCTGAATCTGTCGCTGCTTGCCGTTCGAATATAGCATGCGAATATTTTACAGGACATTAACGCTCGTTTAAATATCCGTTTTAAGCTATATTTTTTTAGTTTATTTTAAATGGATTCCGATAATGGATGTGGATTTTATAAAGGAAACCGTCAATAATACTGAAAACTAAATCGATCCTGCTCCTAGTAAATCAGAAATGCTGTTGAAAACTCTTCAACGAATGTCTTTCGACAGTCAATTATCGCTTTGTAGCTGTAGACAGATTTACAGAACGATAAGCAACCTGTCACCATCCAATTAAGCATGTGCCTCAGTTAGCGCTCGAAGAGAACCTTTGAGATTGCCATCAGCAGCTCCACATCACAAGACGTCGCTGCAGGGAGTAGCATCACGGCATTTTTTAACGAGGTCACTTTTTGATAAGAGCGGGACCTTTCGTTCAGTCTACACAGCTAATACACACAGGATGATAAGAAATAAAACGACAGTCACATCATTGTGATTTACATGTGTCTGGATGCCATCGCGCAGCCATGGAAGGTCACTGCTACCAAATTTCAAATTGGTTTAGTCGTTCAAAGGGCTAAAGCACACATACACTATCCCGCTTGACATATATGTCTAAGTAAATGTGTATGTATGGCTTGTATACAGGAATCTCAATGATGTACTGTTGACACGAAGTGCTTTTTGAATATGTTAATTGATATGATTATTGATTTATGTAGCATTGAAAAAAGGTAAAAAGGAAAAACATTTGCATCATAAAAAAAATAATTTGTGAAAATATTATGGATAATAAGTGATGGTGTAACACTCCTTTTGTTATGTATCCACATTGATATTATGTGTGTTACATTGATATTGGACTTATCGACATCAGAATGTTTATGTATAATATATTTCATATACAGTGTATGTAATTTAACACTAATTAATAATACACGTCAACACCACAAGGCTATATACATTTAAACCACTGTCACGTGAAGAAGCCTATCTCAAAATGATCACCACCGGAATGTGCATCTTCTTTCCTGAAATAGGAAACCATTTGTAAGGGCTTGTTGTGTTTTGTAATGAATAAAAATTACTTAACTATAGAAATAATAATGTATGACGCAATGTTTCGCGTCTTTCCTTTCCTAACTCTGGGCTCTGATCAGTAAAGAATTGTTTGGGTATACAGAACCAGACGTCTTGAAGTAAGGGTTTGGTGGTCAGGTTCAGTGAATGCGTTTCATCGTAACTTGATAGCGTAAATAATAAGTGAATGATTAGTAATTACACCAATCACTGGATTGTCTGGTCCAGATTCGACTACTTAAAGACTGACGTCATACAGATCAAATAGTGGAGAATCTGCGCAAACAAACAAAGTAATTTTCCTTTGATTTTGGTACATCCTGGACAATGGTAACCCTTTTTTATTAATGCCTCTATCATATGCTTTCCATTAAATATGACTTTGCTATATTAACTATTATGAAACTTTGAAAATATTAAAAGTAAACATGATTGTGGCTTTTTGCAATCAGTTCTTTTCATCTGTTTCATGGTTAGAGTAGCACGCGGAGAACAGAATTGAATGTCATTGAAGCATGCTAGAAACACGTGTGTCTTATCAAGTGTTGGCTACAAGAAGTAGTAAACACCGTGTTTGTACAGTTAATCACATCCTCACAGAAACATTTGTTAATGGCAGATGTTGATACAGCAGTTGCTAGATCGATACAACGGCTCAGATCCTGTATCTAGTTCACCACTTTGCTTAACGCGTTTCGCTTGTGAAAAGATAAATGTTAACACAAAACAACCAAGTGAAAATAAGTCGGGGAAACAGAGTCGATAAGCCTGCCTCCCTAACACACAAGCCACAAACGGATTCAGCCAATCGCTAACACTGGAGCATCGTGAGAACTGTGAGTGACAGCCCGGATATGACGTCATCGTCACCGTGATACGCAACATGTGGTTGACAATGGGCACTGATTGGTCGAGGCGACAGCCACGAAAGTGTTCCGCATGGAGTTCTTATTCATAAACACTAGTCACAGTGTGGCGCTGCAGCACTCAGCCTAACGACGCACTACTTTCCCCGGCGGAAGATGATCACCGTAGCAGCTGAATAACTTCCCTGATGAGAGATTTGTGCTTATAACATTCATTTGTGGAGTTAGCTCTTCTTAACTCACACGTACAAGGATAACCCGTGCTTTAACTGGTGAGTACGTTATTGTAAGCATATTATATGTTGCCAATACCTCAATAGGATCAAGGACCATAAAATAGAAGGTAGAACATCCACTCTTTCCAATGTTATGTACTTTTTTAAAAATGAAAAAATGAATAACTTTAAGTATAAGTAAACAGTGTAATAATTTTTGTAATCGAAAATCAAAAATGATTTAAGTGAAAACTTAAATGAATTAAATGAATTATCTATTTTCATATGCATATCTTAATATAAAAGGCACCAAGAATGGTAAAGGTTGATGGTGAATGTGGACTTGTACACTATTCCATTTCCAATTCCAAGTGAAGGGAGATTATTTAATGAGAATCAAATATGGAAGTAAAATAGGAAAACAAGACAAATTAATGTCCCATTTAGGGTAAATGGCTTCGGATATCAATTCTTATTCATAGAATATTGACTCCCAGTGTATTGGCACCAGCTGGCCCACGTCTACATTACCCGGTCGTGGCGAGTCTTCATTGATTAATGAGGCATCCTAGCCTTCTAACACCCCACACAAACATCGGCATTAGCGTCATTGCCGTTAATACTTAATATCTAGATCTCTTTCAGATGATTTCCCTCCTCATATAGCTATCGTTTGTGCTATAATGCTGATACAGGAGACCCATACGTCTATACTTAAGTATTGTTGTGACGAGATCATTATGTTTATAAGTTCAGCTTATCAGCTTCGTGGGTATATTTTTGTTTTTGTTTTTTTTGTTTATGTTTGGGGTATTTTGGAGGTTGCCTTACCCTCAATCAAATGAACTATTTTAAAACGTAAATGCATGGAGTAATTTCTTTTGCCTTATCGATTATGAAGATTAAAACAATGTTTATGTCGAAGGTCATAATCAGGACCTTTGTCAGTCGTACAGGTTTATATTATTAAATTAGTATATACTCGTATTACTGTTACATCACGTGCCTATAGATCACTGCAGTACATCAATAGTAGGCTTACATCCATAAAAGTTTGTTTCGATACATGCTCGATCATTTGTGACTTCAACAAACCACTGACGTAGGGGAAGTAGCAAGTCTGTACAAAATCAAGAACATTTTTAAAAATTAAGCCACAGAGCGTTCATTTAAAGGTTGGGCTACGACTGGAGATATGTCTTCTGCTCTGACAGATTATCTCCTACTTCCCTGTACTCACTTCAGCTGTAGGATGTGAACTGATCAGGGTTAGTCATCTTTAGTGTAACAAATTTCCTACCAACAACATTGAAAGGAAAGACGCGAAATGTGGCCTCGAACATTATAATCTCGTCAGAAATGACACTGTTTTCATTTTCTTTCTAAAATGACGAGATTTATATTTGTATGTTGATATTGTGTGAAATTTCAAAACACAAGTCTCGAGTGACGTGTGCACGTGTTCACTTTATTTATTTTTGAAAAGAAACACTCTTTTTAACTGAGGTCCCCACATATAATCTGATCAGGTATCTCAAGAGCAGTAAGAAGAGTGCTAAGTTTAACCAGCCTTCCACAGTACGTGAAGGCGCACTCGTGGCCCTGTCTCATAAGAAGCCGGTATTCGTTGCACAGGGTTGCGTTCCTAAGCTGAGCAGGATACTATGATTTTTGTTCGAATCCAATATTCGCCCTCCCATATTATGAGTCATGGGTTTTCAACAACAAAGTACTAAGCGTCTGATACTTGCATCACTATGGGTGTCCATCCCATATTAACTTGTTGCGGTTTGTATTTATTCGAAACCCACGAGCTGGGATGTGATGCTGATAAACCTTGAAACATTCAGGTGAATATGGAACTCGAACCCATGGTCATAGGTTTCTGGTAGCTTAAAGGCTACTCACTACTGTGAGTTGCGGTGAAGAGTCATTCCATGAATTCCCAAGTCTAGAATGACCATTCCCCATTGTAAAGAGGAATGAAAAAGAATCAACTAAGAGGAGGTCAGTATAGTCCATAATCAGAAGCCATTGTGACCACTTGATTCCCATACTGATTATAGTAATGCGACATACACGAACGAGTGTCTTCCACAGACTAAGCAGTGATACCCAGTAAAGCTATGGCTGCTCAAAGGGTTATGAGAGATGTGTATTTATCAGTTTGTATCAGTCCAGATGATCATTTATATGCTACACATGGCTTATACACGTCTATTCCCCTATTGCCTGGACTACTATAGTCCATGAGAAATGTTTTTGTATAAGGTTAAATTAAAAGGGGACCTTCGAGGACTAAGGAACCTTCAAGTCTGTTTACTTCACAGTGGAGAAGGGAATAAGAGTTGAATAGAGGTGACTTCTTTATCAAATATTTGCTCTGGGGTCTTATGTCGACTTATGTCCTCTACCGTAGAATGGGACGGTGTATCGCGAAATGTCGTTGTAGATATTGCTTCCTGATAGTGAGCTGATATGAGGTGCATTACACACAACTGAGGCAGGATAAAATTATGTTCAGCTGACTTTGCTGATGCCCTTACCTGTTGATGCTCTTATCTTTTGATGCTCTTATCTATTGATGCTCTTATCTTTTGCTGCCCTTACCTGCTGATGCTCTTACCTGTTGATGCTCTTATCTTTTGATGCACTTATCTATTGATGCTCTTATCTTTTGCTCCCCTTACCTGTTGATGCTCTTACCTGTTGATGCTCTTATCTTTTGGTGCTCTTACCTGTTGATGCTGTGATAACAATCACACTGTGAGGATTCCGGAATAGACGTGGTAGTGAGTGAATGAATATGGTTTTACGCCGCTTTTAGCAATATTCCAGCAATATCACCATAAATGGGATTCACACATTGTACCCATGTGGGAATCGAACCCGGGTCTTCGAAGTGACGAGCCACTAGGCTACCCCACTGCCAAGTGTCGACGTATAATTGATTGTCGTAAAAGTCCACTGAAATGGATCGGTGGTCAGGCTCGGTGACTGACTGGCTGACTGCACTTCGACGAACCTCCACAGCGTGGGACGTTGATCATTCTTTCAAACACTGGTTTGCCTTATTCAGACTCGATTGTTATAATCTGACGTTGTGTGTCTAGAATATTGCTGAAAATAACATTCACTCTGATTACATGAACTCGTTACAGGCAGCTTAACGTCATTGCTGAGCACAGCCAACAGTGGAAACGATCGCGTTTAAGTAATTGTAACGAGTGGTTGTCTTCCCTGTTTCATTTGATAAGACAGTTTGGGGCACACGAAAACGAAACATTCACCTGATAACCTATATTATCTGTTTCAGATTATCAACAAATTCAAGATGGCTTCCAGTTCGTCCATGATCTTCTCGGATACGACACCTTTCGGTGTCGACAACACGACAACGGAAGTGACGTCATCAGTAAACATCAGCGATGAGGAGAAGAACCGTTATCTATCCCACCTTGACGACACGACGTTTCCCTTGATGATACCAGCCGTAGTATATCTGGCCATCCTGATGCTTCTGGGTATTTTCGGAAATATTCTTGTGCTGATCGTGTACCTTAAGAAATTCAAACCAAGCCCGACCCGTGTGTTTGTGGTGTGTCTGGCTGTGTTTGACCTCATGACTTGCATCATTTCACTCCCAGGGGAGATCCTGGACTTGAGGTTTACCCATACGTTCGACTACCCAAACCTATGTAGAATTCTACGTTTCAACAACACATTCTCCGTGGTGTCCTCAGGATTCACGCTCATAGCTGTTGCTATCGACAGATACAGGAAGATATGTCGGCCTTTGAACAAGCAGATCACCATCAGAGTCGCGCGCACCATGGTAGGGATCGCTGTGTCCGTATCACTAGTCCTCACCATCCCGACAGTGATAGTCAACGGCAAAATCACTGTCATAACAGACAGAGAGGGAATAACTGGTTTCGACTGTTCCTTTGACGATAGGTGGCACGATACTCTGTTCCCCTTGGTCTATACTGGAGTCTTGTTCCTTACCTTCTTCGGTTCTCTGTGTGTCCTGGTGATTATGTACATCCTCATTGGTAGGACTGTTTTTATTCATCGGAAGTTCAAATTCCGCCCCGCAACGGACAACAAAAACCAGTCTCCTCAGAATTCGACGTCCGAAACTGAGCTGTCGTCTGGAGATGGTAAGGAGCGGAATGGGAAGCGGTACCTCCTCGGCAATGGGAAGAGCTCAGATCAGGGTAAAGGGACCAGGATTGCTTGGATCTCGCCCCGAAAAACAACGCCACCTACCGTCAACGGGTCAAATTCGAACAAGGTGAAGGTCGGCGTTGACGGGTCGTCCGAGACAAGTCATACCAATCTGAATGACACCCCCGGGAAACCGAAGACAGTTATTTTCACCCGCAGAGCTGAGCAACCATCCAATGGTGTGAAACTGACCAATTTTGTTAAATTCGACGGGAAAAGAAAACACAGTGCCGCGAAACCAGAAGGAAAGTCAGGGCCGAAAGCTTCAAAGACAACGCTTATGTTGTTCATCATCACAGCTGTGTTCATCATCAGCTTCTTACCTCATCTGATCCTGATGATAACTCGTGGCTTCAAATCCGACTTTCTGGAGTCTTTACATGGAGCAGGGGTCATGGTGTATAATGTATTCCTACGCTCATACTTCATGAACAGTGCAGCAAACTGCATAGTATACAGTTTTTGCAACGTCAAATTCAGAAATGAGTGCAAGAAACTAATCGTCCCTTGTTTGTCGTTTAGGAAAAAATGACTAAGAAACAATTCATCCGACTTTAAATGAAAGACATGTGATGAAACCAAAGTACATGGACAGAACAGTCTTTAAACGTAATGGCTGCACAAAATACATGGTCAATCATCGGTTGTCAGATTGTGATATTTATGTATCTATATAATGAAACTGTGAAACTGAATATGTTCTATGTTGTCTACATGAACCAACCACCGTGAAAGCTTCGCGCCAATTTGTAAATAATCACCACTTGGCAATTTGTTGATGGATGACGTCACAACGATCAACAAGGAGGCATGACTAATGAGAACGTCGGCCATTAATGACATATTATGTGTAAAATAAATTGTTTACACGGACTTGATAAAACTCCACATCACTTGTGACCCACGTGGTGTTCGCGTGCTGCTGTTAAACACCTGTCGCAGTGTGACGGGCATGTTGACAGCCTTTCTCAGACGCGTGATTGATATATAGAGCAGTGGGTTAATACGGACCTTGCGAATGTGACATTGATTTGTGTTTTATTTACGTGGCCGAATATAAGTTTGTATTGATGAACATTGGACACAACCGACACAACCGATGACACAGAGGGTCGACAGCAAGAACGACGCATCGGTTATCTGTTTTAATTATACAAGAGTTATATATCGTGACGCATGCATGTGTCACAGTGACATAAGTGTGTATTTCAGTGACAGTTTGTTGTTATCTGGGGTTTTTAAGTTTCATATTTTCAAGTTTTCACAGTATAGGAATTCGATTGGACAGTGTTACCATGATGACATATATTCACAGTTGAGAAAGCTGTGTCATATCGCGTTCATTACCACTTATGTGTTAAGGTAGAATTTCTTTTTTTTAATTATGGTCTGTGTTCGCCTTGTAAATTTATCTCAATTATCCTCACAAGAATCTAACGTCAATATTAACTTAGGGTTTACCATACCGTCGACAAATGTGTGTTCACATGCAACTTTGAAACATAGACGTTGGGGTGGGAAATAAGCCTTCATGTAATTATCTGGACATGGCGGTCTGGTAATCGAACGTAATTGGGGTAGAACGATGTGGTTTGGGGGAGGGAGGAGATGGAGCGGGGAGGGGGTGTTTACTGGATATTACTTACATGGGAGTCCTGTTATGAAGGTTAAATACTTAATGAATTGATTTAGCGTGGGGTCTTAATCATATATTTTACTAAATGTGAAAATATATGTTAATACATTGTTGCGATTTATAGAGTCCATCGTGCGTGTCACGTGTGTGAAAATTGATATATTTTGTGAATAAACATGTCATCGTAAATTTCAATTTTGTTTTCCTCACATGTTTCTATGAGCGTTTCTACAGGCTGTGTACGTGCATTCTATTTATATCAAATCCATAGTATTACACAATTCAGACCTAACAAGTGTACCATGTAAACAAATAAATATTAGGGACAAAATCAACGTGGCCTATACATGGAACTGACACACGAAAGTTGTGTGTGGTCTGAATATTACATGATCACTTATCAAAAACCTTTGTGTTCTGTCCTTTAATAAAATGAATGTTATCATCATTTTTAAAGCATATGTAATGTTTGAATGTCCATGGGCACGGGTGGCTCAATTATCTAACTTTTCGAAAGTTCCATAGTTGCGCCCCTTAACCGTGACAGGATCCGCTAATCATGGGTTAAAATCTTAGATTCGTCTTAATAATGATGCTTGGTCAGTCGTTGGTTTCACCAAACCATCTTGAACCTGCATCACTTCACATCCGTCTGGCAAACTATGACATAACTGACATATTCTTCAAAGTTCTACTTATTCATTCACTCGATGGTCCAGTGCCTAAAACCAAAAGACGTTAAAGGGTGGTACTTGTTGTTACCCTGTCTGGCGCTCGGCATTAAGGGGCTAAAACAAGGACTGGTCGGCTCGGAGTCAGTATACTGTGTCTGAGTGGGGTATTCATGTTAAACTGCGGCATTGTATCTCAGTGAGCTAGCACTATAAATCGGCATCAGTCCGGACTAGTACAAGCAGCCACACACACACACACACACACACACACACACACACACACACACACTCACGTGCATGCACGTCGCTATATAAGTGCAATAATCTTGGACGCGACGTTAAACCCCATTTCACCTCACCTCATCAGTGCTTAAATCGTAAATTATTCGGAAAGCAAATGGCCAGCTATACACTACTGTTTATTTGGGAGAAGATGCATGTAAACCAACAGAAGCATTCAAGAACTTCGCGTTATCATGAAATCTATATTAAGTTTGTTTAAGTCGGAAAGTCCTCTTCGGTTACAGCGTTATCGGAACGGTCTGCATTCAGAAGTCCTAATCCTCCTTGAGAAGTAATGACATGACTGATCCAACCACCCTACACTGGTTACAGCGAGATGCGTTTCAAGTTAAAACATTTCATTTAACCTCTTTTCTCCGAAAACACTTTCAATTTGCGTTCGTAAAACGCATGACTGACACTTTCAGAAACGGGCGATCAAATTTCCTTGCGACATCATCGCAATCTGCTCGCGCTGGCTACCTCTTCACGTCGCCCGTCAGAACAGCTCAAATCCCCGGACTCGTGTCCCCGAGCCTCAGTTGGCATGTGGTAATATTTACCCCGCAACATGTGGCAATGACTTCAACCTCCGAGTGTTTATTCCTCCTGAGCTCATTATTCTAGATTGTCGCCTTCCTTCATATTTTCTCACGGTTGTGATATAAAACCCAACCACTCGCCTGTGTTAAACTAGCATTCACAACAGAAACCTTAGCTCTGGCTAGCGCGGAGATACCGAGATTTAAGATTATTTATCCAGAAGCTGAAGGGTGGTTGTAGGAAAATATGACCGTGGAAATAATCTAAAACAAACATTTTAAGGACATAGGGGTCGCCTTCAACTACTGTCATTTGAATCGGAGATGATAGAACGAACGGGAACACCAACAATGCATCAATGTTATGGCTTGGCTTTCAACGTGCTTTGACAGTTCTCAAAAGTAGCTTGGGAATCAGATAGTAGTCTGGGCTGAGAAGAGGCCGATAACATTGCATTGAATTGGAAAGAAAAACAATTATAACTGCTTAAAATTTTACATTTTTTGCTTGTGAGTACGAGTGCAAGCTGCTGGCTTGGAGCTTTTGAGCTTAAAACAAGATCTTGTTTGATGTTCGGGGAGAATTTGAAAATAATCTTTAAAAATAAACATTGCAGGCGATCGGTGTAATTCATTGTTTCTATAACATTAAACTTACAGGGTCTGAGGATACGGATCGCCGTATATAAATTGAAGTGTATATCAACCCACAGCGCCTTGATACAAGAAACTGCGGTTGTATTGATGAAGGCGAAAACAAGGGTAATACAGTGGCGACATAGCTTTGATGTGGTGGACCCAGTTGAAATGCCGGAGTACCTTTTGCTTAATAAACAGTTTGTGAAGACAAAATGAAGCTCTTTCTGAAAAAAACTAAAACACATCTTCCCTGAAAGGATTATACAATATGTTCTGAAATATACTTTTTTGTTCTTGCGTAGTACAGTACTCCAGGTAGATGCCGTATTGGCGTATTTTACGCGCTGGGAAAGAATACCATACACTCTCCAATGTCATTAAAATCAGAACTTAGTTCTCGCTACCGCTAAACAAAGATTAGTCTGTCTTACAGACCCTGATACAAATATATATATCAAATACAGCCCATGCAAGTCTATAATGTTTGGCAAGTCTAGATCACTGCAGTATCTGAAAATGAAGAGAGTCACTGGGCTCCTTTTTATTATATTTTTATTAAGATAACTGAACATCTGTTTTTTTATGTACGATATGTTCATTTCAGAGACTAGATTTTAGTCTAAACAAAGATCTGAGGACATCCTATTACGGGTCACGTCATAACGACCTTTCCCGAATTTTGACCGACCAATGAAGTGACTGACAAGAAATCGACATTAGCCAATCAGAAGGCAGCTTTCTCGAGCTTTTCGACACTAGTTTCAAACTGGCGACTACGCTTCGAAACATATTTTGACGTATTCTCGATTAAAAAAATAAAACTGATAAGAAGAACACTCTGGAATTGCTTATAGATGGCCTAGATTGTATAGTTATAATCATAAAACCCGTAACTGTCGTTCGGAATACCCTGTGTTAAATATTTCGTGGTTGCATGATTAGAAAACACATTCCGACTGTCACTTTCATGATCTTGTAACCGACGCGCTGATTGGTCGGATTAAAGGTCGCTCTGACGTGACCCCAAATGGGACGTCCTCAGATCTTTGTTTAGCGGTAGCGAGTACAAAGATTTGATTTTAATGAGATTGTACACTCTCACGATTAATTGTTACCGTACCTTGTCTATTTATTCTCAAATAAACGGGATATACGTCATTTCTTGTCAGCAGCAAATTGATTTGGTGCCAATCCTGTATTGTGATTGGCTAATAATAACACACTCGCATTCTCTCGTCCCGGTAATGTTTACGTAAGTCTGGCAGCAAAATCTGAATGTGCAACACGAGGTCTTTGAATGGTGGCTGCCTTAAGTGTGTTGACAAATTATCTGGAGCACGGCTAGTACATTCAGAAAGAACTTATTTTATGTTCTTTTTATTTCTGCCAGATACGTTTTCTTTTAAGAACGGAGACCATTTGGGGGTTTTGTGTGAAGCTGTTTAAATATGGTAAATTAATACTAACTGTAAGATTGATAAACATTATAGACTGGAAGTTAACAAACAACCAAAGTGGTGACAGAACGAATGGAATTCAACTTGCCAGGACTGCCAGTCTGTCCTGGCATACATCCCCCTTTACGATATCTTTAAGGGGCATGTTAGAAGCTGTAGAGCCCCGTGAAGATCCGAGTTAGAAATGATCTTCAGCAACCCATGCTTGTCGTAAGAAGCGACTAACGAGACTCGCTGACTTGGTTGCTTGATGCCATCGTATACCGATTGCCTGGATCGATGATTATGCTATCAATGGATTGTCTTCACTGGGTTGTCTCATCCAGACAGGATTATTTACAGTTTGTCGTCATATTGCTGGAATATTGCTGAATGGGGCGTTGAACAGCAAAAAAAACAGACAAAAAAGAAGCTGTAGTGACAATGAAGACAGAGTTGAGGGATTGATTTCAACTTCTTATTATTTTATCCTTTCAATGCGACGTTTGGGTGTGCACGCGGGTACCGTCATCGCTTGCTTGATGCAAGTACAAGAACAAGCATCTGTATCGAAACGTCGCGTTAAACTAATCAAATAATATGACATCCAGAAGTGAACACTGCCCTCGCTTTCATCAAAATGAATCCAATGACATTAAGGAGTTAGTGGGAAAGCAGGGATCGACGACGCTTTAAAGGACATTTCATCACACCGTCTCAGCCCAGGTGTGAGTAACGACCAAATAAATCGCAGACGTGTGCAGATGTTGATGAAACCGGTTTGGTGCTGACCGACCCTGGATCATTATAATAATTCATTTCTTAATATTAATTGAAATTACGATGACGAACACGCATACATACATACATACATACATACATACATACATACATACATACATACATACATACATACATACATACATACATACATACATACATACACACATACATACATACATAAATATAAAGTGAGTGAGTGAGTTGGGTTTAACATCGCTTTTAACAGTATTCCAGTTATATCGCGGCGTGTCAGCTTAATGTGGGAGGAAAGCCCGAAGTGATGCAGGTCTTAGACGTTACCACTTCGGTGAAACCCACGAGCACGGGTATGGTGCTGACAAACCTAGAAACATATATACATACAAACACACACACCACGGGATGTTTTTTTAGGCATTCTACAAACAGGATGCATTCAAGAATGTGTGGACATGCCAGTAAATGTCTCTGTTTGATCAAATGAAAAAATAAACCATACATTGCCAGCGTAAACTTCCTTGTATAACGTAAACTCTAACATTGAGGTCACTGTGACCTGTAACTGGAGTTGGAGAGCGACACTCAGTTTCCAAGTATCCAATAGACTGGGTAAACAACACCGTGATGCTGAACTGTGACGTGGGAATCCGTTTGTTCCAGTTATTCATTGCCATCAACTTCCGTGTAACAGGAAGCAGCAAAAAATAATTTCATGGCGTAGAACTGCATCTAAATATTCAATTACCTGAAAACATGCAGAAAACAGGTGGAAGTAGACTCGCATATAGTCCCCGACATAACGTTTTAGACTAACACTTAATATACATGTATAATTGAAAACATTTAGCAACGGGCCCCAGTGAGATGGGAGCCTGTGGAAAATGTAGACTTGATTCTTTAAGGACATACAGTACAGTGATGGTTCTGTGGTCTTTGACAGCGACTAACGCGAATGTTGAGGTACATATATATATTAGGTTCAGACAGTAAAGAAACTTCCGACAGTGTTGGTATACAGTAAACTACGGTTATAACGAACACGCTTATAACGAACTGACGGATATAACGAACTTACGTTTTTGGTCCCGACTATTTGCTGTAGTTAAGATGTATAT